TGGTGGGCACGCCACTCTGGACAGCTGGACACCTGTCTCTGTCAGGAGGCACACTGAGCAAATCAGGGACACCAGTGCACAGAGACAAGGCGAGGGGACAGCAGACAGTGACAAGAACCACTCTGACCCCAGGAGTCAGACACACAGGCCTTCCCGCCGGCCTGCTTCCCTCTGGGAGGACATCGGGACCCCTGCCAGGACTGGCAGCAGCCCAGGCACCGGTGTGTGTTAGAGCACACACACAGGGACGGAGGGCCGGCACTTCTACACCTAGCCATGGGCCCTGGGCTCTCTTCTCAGTCCAGACAAGGAGGAGGAATAGGGTGTATGCCACCCCTCCCGTCCCCCACCATGGCTCACTGCTCCCACTGGGTAGCTCCAGAGGATCCCCAGGGGTCTGAGTGCCAGCACAGGGGTCACATAACCCCACCCCACAAGAGAAAAAGACAAACAGCCTTCACCCAGAAGAGCTCTGCCATTCTTAACCAATGTGTCATTGAGCTGAGCTCTACTTACCTAGCACTGGACATTCAAACGGAAAAAGAAAAGGACAAGGAGGCCACGCTATCAATCGGGATGGAAAGCAAATCTCCAGCTGTTTCTCTTGCTCTCACAACGGATCCACAGACCACATGATCGCTTCACCTTACAGAGCGCACCTGCGCGCTGCAGTGGCTTCCCCCCACAGAGCAGGAAGAAGCTCCCAGGCGAAGGAGCGGCACAGGGACCCGCCCTGAGGAAGCTGCGGGCCTCGCCGTGAGGGGTGCTGCGGCCTGCGTGGGGTCAGCACCGCTCAGAGCCCACTGCAGCCTCTGTCCAGTCGCTGACCACTCTGGGCAGCAGCGTTCTCTCCTCTCCCTCTGGTCTAGTGGAGTCTTGGGAGTTCACTCCCACTGTGCCGTTGAGCTGCTAGGAAAACCACCTGTGACAACTCTATTTCTCTTCCGTTTTCCCGTGTGTCCCACACAGCATCTCAATGCACAGCCCAACTGCACCACAGAAAAGCTACAAGGTGTGTGAGTCTGTCTCGTGTTTCCAACATGCTATGCCAGGACCAATCCTTTTCTAAGTGATGGATTTTAGCAGCCACCCGAAGGACAACGATGGGGAAATCACAGCACAACTCAATCCTCCTTCCACTGGTGCACTGCCTTCCCATGCATCTTAGCATACCATTGCTTCCTTGCTGATTTTGGTGTTGGTACTGGGGCTTGAACTCAGGTCCTGGGTGCTGACGCAGGTTTTTCACTGAGGGCTGATGTTCCACTTCTTGAGCCACAGATTCACTTCCAACTTTTTTGTTGTTTAACTGGCTTGGCTTTGAATCATGCTCCTCAGATCTCAGTCTCCTAAGTAACTAAGATTGCAAGCATGAGCAGACACCTTGACACATGACCTTTAGGGTAAATACAATCACACGCAAGCCACTACAAACTTCTGAGTTGACCACGATGGTTGAAAACGTCACTTGAAAACCTAGTGAGAAAATGACTAACACACTGACGAACAAACTTAGGGGTGGATGGAAAACTGGTTTTAGAAGTGAAGGGAAAAGGCCTAACCTCACAGTGGCACACAGAGCCTTGCAGCAATTCACTGATTACCCCGTAAGCCACCATCTAAGAAGAGAAAGAAAGCTGAACAATTATCCCAACAAAGAGACCGGAATGTCCTTCCCTGACACCCCACCGACAAGTTCCAGCAAGAAAGACCTTAGGTACTGCTCTGCAGAATCGCCCCGTTCCATAACACAGGCACGCCACAGTCCAGAGACACAGAGGACCCAGCTTTATTCCTGCACTGTCACTCCCGAGAAAGATCACAAAACGGGCAGGCTTCCATCCTGAGGGTGAAGCTCTGAGCCCTACACGTCCCACCTCTTCTGAGTAGTTTCTAGATGGCTTTCTTGCTCAAAAGAATGCCACCTAAGCCACAGAGAGGAAAATTATCCAAGAAGGAAACTCCTCAGCACATGATGCGTTGCTAGGCTCATGTATGGTACATGACACACGGCATGACAGAATCACACGTGGTGGGCATCAGGTACGGTACATGGAACATACCACAGAATCACACGTGCTAGGCATCACATATATGGTGCATGACACACATCCTGACAGTCACATGTGTAGCACCCACCACCATGGCCTCATCTGCTGACAGCCTTTCAGATGTCTCTTTGCACACTCTGGCCACCCCTGACAACATGACAATGCAGTAGCTGCACATTCAGTCAGCCTCCATAGGAGGTTAGGACCTTCAGATCAGCAGAGGGCACCAACTAGGAGACACACAGCAAACACACCAGGTGACCGGAGGAAGATGCACAAAGTACTGGCATACCCATATGATAGTACAAAAACATTCATTCTGCCAGGGCTGAGCACGTAAGCATGCAGACACACGACTTACAAGTCAGCTACATCCACAGGGCAGTGCTGAGCAGGAAGCAGTCGAGAAGCAAGGCCTCCAGGTTTAGCTTCCGGTGGATGACATGCACATAATGCAACACCTGCAGTCCCTGGCACCGAGCCCCCCATGCAAAAGCCCCAACATTCTCTTCACCTCCAGAATGTTCACCAGGAAGCTGAGCCTGCTCTGGCTGAAGCAATCACAGGCTTCTCAGACTGTCACGCAAGGAGCGAGGACAGACCCGTCCCAAGGAGAGGGTATGGCTCTGCCAGGAGCAGGGTGCTGGGCCAGGCAGAGAAGGGCAGGGTAGGAGGAGAGCATGCCAGGGGCTGCCGCACACGGCCTTTTAGCTTGCTGTGCATAGACCAAGTGAGAGGCCCCCAAAGCTAACGTCACCGGGCTGGGCAACTTTCAGACCCATTGGGGCACTGGGTCTGCAACTGGTTTCTCTAGGATGTTAAAAGTGACCCGTAGGCAAGTATGTTCTAATACTGAGAAGTGAAGCACACTTCCCCCAAGAAACTCTGTTCAAAGTGAGCCTAAAACGCCCGGGTTTGCTGACTCACACCTAACAGCGTGCTGACGTGTACCTTAGAAGAAGAAACAACAATCCGGGAGGAGCGCAGTCCCTGGGAGACCACCCACTCCCTGCCTGTGAAGTACATCTTTAAAAGCCCTTAACACCATTTATTTTTTAAAAAATCTTTGTAAGGAAAAGGGAAACATCTCAGGCTACTTGATCTTCCAAATTTGTCACTAGAATTCTCAAGCCCCACAGCTCACATCTACATTCTTAGGAAAAAGGAATCAATTCAAGAGCCACTACCTGGACCCACAGGGTGGTGAGCAGCCTCTCCACCGGGTCTCTTGGGCTCACCAAGTGCTCGCCACGACCGGGAGCTGAAGTGCACAGCCCAGGGAATCTGAGAAGCAAGGTAACAGTCTGCCCATCACCCAGACATTAAAATGTGCCCCGATGGCTCAACCTGCAGATTACCCCACCCACTGAGGCCCACAGACGGCTCAACCCACAGATTACTGGACCCAGGCAAGCAGGATAGCTCACAACCCAAGGATGCCAGTTGGGGTGGAGCTGCGTGGGGGCACGCTCACCTTCCACTTGCTCCTAGCGCACAGAGCACAGCCTGTACCATCACCAGCCGGCCCTAGCAGCCAGGACACAGCGCCTCCTGCAGGGCCTCCTGGGCCCACAGAGGCCACAGGGGCTGAGAGCAGCAGGCCCCGGGACAGAGCACACACTGCTCTCCCGCTGCAGGTCAGCTCCCTCATCCACCCACATCGCCATCACGCAATGCACCTGTCACCCAGCAGGCACCACGACCCCACACAGGAGGGACTCCATGGCTGAGTCCACACACCCACCAGGCCCGGCACCCCACCCCTTGGCATGCACCCCCCCTTGACGGGGCCCCTCTGCTCACTGGTTCCCCAGCCCCACACCATGTTCCCTAACAGTACTGCCATCTTCCCACAATCTCCGGACTCAGAGGCCATTTTGTGAGGTCCCCTATTTCAAGAACCTGTGGATTTGTTTTAAGGGTGAGGGCCAGGAACAGGGAAACCCCCTCCCAAGGCGGGGAGGGGGGAACCTATTGATTTCATTTGGTTTTTGGTTTTGTAAGGCACGGTTTCATTATATAGTCCAGGCTGGCCTCCAACTGGTGATCCTCCTGCCTCAGCCTCCTGAGTGCTGTTTGGGTTTTTGACAGGACCCCAACTTCCTAGCATTCTGCATGTTAAATGAGAATGGCCTGTGAGTTCTGTCTGAGAACCAGTGTTGCATCCAAGACATGTAAATCATGGGCAGAAGCAAAACCAGAAAGCCCTCATTAGTGTCCGACCAGGATCCCAGATGGTCCAAAACTTAGAAAAAGCTCTGGGCACTCATACGACACACCTGACGCCGGTGGGTCTGCACACCTGAGTTCACACACTTACTTCAAACGGCCGCACGGAACCACAGCCAGGCTTCAGATCTAAGGTATGTGTGAATTCTAAGCAAATTCTGTCTTTAGACTTAGGTCCCATCCCCACTGTCCTGTGAAAACCTTCAAGGACCCAAAACACTCCTGCTTCAAGCTCAGCAGCATGGCTAGCCACTAGCGATGCCCGTGGGACAACGGCAAAGCCACTGCAAGGGTTACTTGGCTGAGAACTCTGGCACAGCTCAAACCCCCAGCTTCTGCAACGAAGGACTCGGGCAAGTCTCTGCTTACCAATCCTGGGTATGTGTAGTAAGTTCTCCATTGCTTACATATAAAACTGAATACTCAGTTCAAACACACACGCTTAAAAGACAAGTACAATGAGCATCTATCAAGGCTTTGTTAAAAGGTTTTCTACAAGAAGGGAGCAGAAAGGTCAGAAGTCGCTGCCCAGGAAGCACAGAGCCCAGCTCCGGGACTGGGAAGAGCTGATCGATTCATGGCACAGCAGGACAAGAAGTAACAGTTCTATCAGAACAAAGGACCGGCCAGGACCGGCCAGGACCACCCTGGGGCTGCCGGCCGGCAGGAGGGCACCCGTGAGCTCGCCGGCGCGCAGGACCCACCCCCCACCCGTCTTACCTCTGTGCTCCGGCCCAGGGCTGCTGACCCCCCAGCCCTGGTAGAGCGTGGTGAAGTCCTTTGGAATGTACGTCTTAAAGATGCTGAGGATGTCCAGGCGTTTCTCCTGGCCCTCGGCTGCGGGCTCCTGCTTGGCGGAGTGTATGACGGAGGGCGTCCCAGGCTGGGCCTGCGCCACGGGGTCCCCTCTGGTGGCCGTGGCGCAGGTGGTCGGCGTCCTCAGCTCCGGGGACGGGGGCTCGCGGGGAAGCGGGGACGGCCCCCCTTCGCTCTTCACAGGAGGCGCACCCTGAGGCTGCGGGCTGAATCTGGCTTTCAGAGAGTCCGGGCCGCTGTGCTTGTGTGGGGGACCGGAGCTGGCCGCTGCCGGAGACACTCCAAACTTCTCCGTGGGCTTGCTGTTGGCCGCGGACTGGGCCGCTACCCGGGTGATGACGGAGGGCGTGGGGGTGGCACTCCTGCCGAGGCCCCCGGCGCCGGCAGGCGGGCCGGGCTTGGTGCCAGCCTCCAGTTTGGCCTTCCCCAGAGGTCCCTGCCCGCCAGCGGTGGCAGCGCTGGGTGTCTCCTGGCCGTGGCCAGGTCTGGTCTGTCGATAGCCGTCGGGCCCAGACGGGCCCCCAGGACGGCCCTCCCGGTTCTCAGGCAGGCTCGTGGCTTTCGTGGCCCCCCCGAGAGGCGGGGAGCCACCCTTGGGTCCCGGGGCCCCGCCGGGCGCCTGCGTGCGGGTGAAGCGGGCGAGCAGCAGGGGCTGGCACTCCTTGCCGCCGAGGGCGGGTGGGGGACCCGTGCGCCCGCTGCGTGCCAGGAACGCCAGGCCACTGCGGATGCTCCGGTAGCCGTTGGGCTGTGCCCAGGGCGGCACGGCGCCGCCGCCGACGCGGTGCCAGATGCGCTTGTGCATCCACAGCACCTCGGGGTAGTAGGTCTTGTGGGCGCAGTAAGGACACGGGTGGACCACCAGCGTGGCCTGCGGGGAGAGCGCCACCTCTCGGGGGTCGTCCCCGCCCGACCTCGTGCTTAAATCCAGGGGGGCCCCGTCTGGGGCAGGTGCCCTTCTTCCTCCCCCCGACAGCTCCTTGCTGTACGGGTCAGGCAGCTTCTCCTTCGGGCTTGCCGCATTGGGCTGCGGGCCAGTTCCCCGGGCACCGGGAGGGACGTCGGCCCCGCGGCCCGCACCGGGCGTTTCTGGTGGGGAGTGGAAGGCTGGCATCTTGAGGTCGAGGGCGAGCCTGTGTTGGTCCAGACGCTTAGACGGGGCTCGGCTGCCGTTCTCAAATGTGGATGCCACGGAGGCCGCTGTCACGGGCCTGGACTCCCGGCCGCCTTGGTCCTGCGTGTGACTGCCGAGTCCGTGGCTCTCCTCGCTGCCGGAGAGCGCGGCCGACACCACCTCCGTGGAGAAGCAGCAGCGCCGCGACCGTACCCCTGGAGGATGCAAACGCAGAAGGGAGGTTACCATCGCTCATCAGAACACAGCGGGACAAGGGCGGTGGCAGCCAGACGCCCAAGACACGCGCCCGCCCGCACGGGCTGCTTCGGGGCTGGGCCCTCTCCCTTCTCACTGCAGGGAGGCTGTGCTACACTGGGCAGATGGACGGGCAGAAATACATACACCAGCGGCATGTCCCATTCCCAAAACCACAGCTGGACTGCTGGTGAGCATAGGAGCTGGAGATGAGCAGAGCATACTAGCTGCGCACGCTGCGCACACGCCCTGCACCTGAGACCAGGCTATGGCGGCTCTGATCACCCAGGTCAGGACAGACACGGCTGGGGGACCAGCAGCTGCTTCAGAAACTGAGCCACCATGTGACTTCATCATGAGAATCCTCATCACCAAGACCCATGTTTTAAATCCAAAACCTTGGCCCCAGTCCCTCCAGAGGCCCGTGCGTGAAGCGCTTGGTGACGGTCCAGCACCACGGCGCAGGGGGGAGGGGGAGGGGCTTCTCCACGGCCCAGGCAGCAGCGCTGCCAGCGGACGCAGCCCGGCCTCCCAGAAAGCCCAGGTCTGCGTGGACTGAGCCCCAGCTCGGGACCCACACCGGAGACTGCCGGGCCTCTCCTCTGCCCAGCTGCTGCAGCAGCCTGGGGTCCCAGGTGCCACTCAGGGCACGAAAACGCCAGGCCCGCCCTCCCACAGGCTTTTAGATGTTCACGTTCAATGCAAGTAGGTTATTTGCTTATCCGGAGCATTCTTTACAATCTAAGAATATATTTCCCAAGACAAGACTTGGGAATCCAACAGAAGTCTTGGCCATAGTAAGAGACTCTCAGCTGCTGAGCTGGTGGGAAGAGGGGGGGGGGAGGCGAGGGGGAAGGGGGAGAGGCATGGGGCAGGCTGGCAAATGCAAGCTGCAACGGGGCAGCCACAGGTAATAAGCCACCCTCAGGTGAGCACGGTGGTGCCGGTGGCAGTGCTGGAAGGGGGTGGTTGGGGAGGAATGAGGTCTCTGCCACGTGCTCCAGAGCAGAGCTGGAGGGCTGGGGGGTGGGGGGGTCACTGGCACTGCTGAGACAGAGCATGGTACAGGCGGCTCTGGCGCAGACGCGGATGACTAGGAGAAAGGGAGCTCCCTGTCACAGCAAGCCTCATGGCAGGTGGAGGGAGGGGGCTGCTTTTTAATGCATTTATAGCAGGCAGAAGACCAACAGCCCAGCTCCTGATTGAGAACCTGAGGTGTGTGCCCAGAACCTCACTATGTGCATTCTGACCCCAGTGGTCTAGGCCTTCAGCTCCAGGGAAACACTGTCCTAGAACGTCTGGCACCAGAGATCAGCAACATAGATAGCCACACTAGGACCTCCAGCACCATAGAACATCGTCTTAGGACCTCCAACACTGTAGAACACCATCCCAGGACCTTCACCACCAGAGAACACTGTCCTAGGACTTCTGGTACCAGAGAACATCATCCTAGGACTTCTAGCATGAGTAGAACATTGTCCTAGAACCTCCAGCACCATAGATCATCATCCTAGGGCCTCCAGCACTGTAGAACATCATCTGAGGACCTCTAGCACCACAGAACATCATCATAGACCCTCCAGTACCAGAGAACATGGTCCGAGGACATCCAGTTCCATAGAACATCATTCTAGAACCTCTAGTACCAGAGAACACTGTCCTAGGACCTCCAGCACCAGAGAACATCATCGTAGATCTCCAGCACTGTAGAACACCACCTGAGAACTTCCAGCACTGTATAACATCACCCTAGAACTTCCAGCACTGTATAACATCACCTGAGAACTTGCAGTACTGTGTAACATCATCCTAGGACCTCTAGCACCATAGAACATCATCACAGAACCTCCAGAACCAGAGAACAATACAACATTGTCCTAAGACCTCCAGCACTGGAGAACATTATCCTAGGACTCTCTGAGCACCACAGAACATAATTGTAGGACTTCCCACACTTTAAGCCAAGATGTTAAGTGATACAGTCAAGGCAAACAACCCTGAGCTGCCAAAGTAGCTCACAGGAACTCACAGGTAGGCACATGCCAACCACTGCCCCACGCGGACCCAGGAAGGGCAGAGGGCTGTGAGACCCAGCTCTCTGCAGGACGGGCAGGCCCTGACACCGGCGTCCGAGGTAGCCTCTCCAATACCTCCCATCCTGGACAGGGCCAGGAGGGGAGGGTGTGGGGCCTCGGGGAGGCAGGCAGAGCAGCTGACTCGCTGCTCCCAGAGGAGACGCTTCCCCTGAGGAAGCCCAGGTGAGCAAATCCTGCGGGAGCACCGTCCTGGGAGCACTCGCCGGGAGCACAGCACGCCTCCTGGCTCTCCTCCCATCGCCAAAGCCAACACCACCACGCCCATCGGGCCACGCCTAGAGCTGTCACGTCCCTTTTATCCCAATCAGGTCAAAGCAAACGCAAGACCTGGGCCTTGTTCCCAAGTTGTCCCATTCCTTACCTACCCTTGTTCTGGGGAAAACGGCCATCGCTCACTACTGGGCATGCCAGGTGACCTCCCAAAACACTAGGTCTCCCCGTACCCCCGAGCCTCTGCCAGCACAGCGTGGCTCACATCCCCAGGGATCCCCGCTCCCAGGTGGGGCTCTGTGCAGGACCTGCACCTGAGTGAGGCTTTCCAGGCTTCGGAGCCCGGAGCAGGTCCCACCCACCCTGCGGCAGCCCCGACAGGCCCGGGACCCTCTGCACACAGGAAGTGTGTCCCTGCCGAGTGTGCTCCAAGCAATGGGGCTCCTAGCCAGGAGCAGCTGGCAGAGCAAGGCGGAGAGGACCGGGGTCACCTGCAGTCCACGCACTCCTGCTGGACAGCAGGGCCAGGCCACCTGGGCCCCGAAGATAATGCAGGAGCATGCCCAGGCCGGCTCCTTCCGGGGGACCCTGAGGTCTGTCTGCTCCAGCCCAGTGGGCCCAGCAGCCACCCTGGCTGGACAAACATCCTCTCCCAGACAGGCAGAGGCCCGGGGCCACCTACGTGGCCTGCACGTTGACCGACCTGCACGCAGGCCCTGGCGCTTCCCGAGCCTCCGCTTTACACAGCAGCCGCTGAGCCGCTGCCTCTCATCCGAGCATGGAAGGTGCGGCCAACGAGGCTGCCCCGCGGCTGTCCCCACGTGTCCGTGAGCAGAGGATACAAGCGTGGATCCACGGACAGAAAGGGGCCTCGGAGAACTGGCCGGTCCTGCCGGCCGCCACGGGTCGCCTCTCACCCTCTAGGGCTTAGGGCGCACTCACTTCTGCACAGGCAGAGGCCTGGGCATCTGAGGCCACACTGAGCCCCGAAAGCGGGGACCCCAGGTGCACTGGCAGGCCTCAGCAACGCCCTGGGCCAGACTCTGGGCTGACAGGAGGGGAAATGGCACTCGGAGGTTAAGGCCAGAGGCCCACACCCCTCACCCCATTCTGATGAAGAGAAGTGGGACCTCGCTTTTCTTGGGATTCCAGAGCTGCCTCCTGAGCAGGGACTCCGGACACAGCTCCATCAGAACCGCCGCTCAGACAATGTGGCCTGAGACTGCACACGGGCCAGATGTGCATCTGACTCACACACAACGCAGCCACAATTATCGCTCTTCTAAGAGGAAAGGAAGCCAGGCACCGGCGGCTCACGCCTGTCATCCTAGCTGCTCAGAAGGCTGAAATCTGAGGATCGTGGTTGGAAGCCAACCGGGGCAGCAAAGTTCAAGAGACTCTTAAACCACCAGAAAACAGGAAGGGGAGCTGTGGCTCAAAGTGGTAGAGCACCAGCCTTGAGCAAAAGGGCTCAAAGACAGCGTCCAGGCCCTGGGTTCAAGCCCCATGATGGGGTGGGGGGGGGGGAGGAATAAGAAGGAAGAGCCTGCTATGGCAGGTCACTTCAAGTGACTTCACCCCACAGGCAGCCGAGTACACCAGTCATTTTATTATGCTATTTCCATGCTGTGACGCGGCCACAAAGCCACTCTGACGTTATCTGCACTGTCCCCTCCTCGGAAGGACGAAGGGCACCGTGCCAGGGCAGAGCTCGTGCCAGGGCAGAGCTCGTGCCAGCCCCGCCTCTCGACCCGATCGGCGCGCCAGCCCTGGCAGCACAGGGGTGGAGACCAGAGCCCCCCTGGGCCATGCCCACCAGCCCGAGAGCGGGCCCCAGCCCCAGCAGGGTCCGTGCCCACACCGTCAGCTCTGGGACTCAGGAGCAACGGGCAGGAACGCTCTGGAAGGGAGGTTCAAGGCAGGAGGCCAGCGACCGAGTCTCCCCGGGGCACCTGCCAGACCTGACGCGGACACGGGGTGCGGGCGTGGGGCCTCCACGCCCACGGCCGTGGACAGACCACATGGAGGCTGGTGTGGAGCGCTGGGCTCCACAAACACCCCCCTCCCCCGGGCTGGCCCAGCTCACAGACCACACAGGCCTTCAGCACAGCCCCACACCGACCAGATCCACTCCTCCACTGACACAGACGGGGTTGATCTGAGCGCTCTGCGATTCTGGCTTCCCGCACACAGCTCACTCCACACCCCGCACCCAAGGCTGGCAAGAGCAGATCTGTCCTCTCAAAGCCTGGGCGCGGAAGACCACTGCCTTCTCGAAGGTCCGGAGTGGCTTCTAGGCCTGCCTGCGGGCCTCCCATTCCCCCGAGGCCTGGCGGGCCCCGCGCCGCGGGTCCAGGGGCCGCCGACCCGCCGGGGTCGTCTGTGCCCACATCCCACGCATCTCCTCTTCACTTCTCAGCGATGCAGGGATTTTCACAGATATTCTTAAGCGACACAAGGTGAAGCCACACGTCTCCCCTGACAGTCCGAGGCGTTGACACAGCTTAGTCCCTGCCTTTAAACAACAGGCACTGGTGATGTCTGAAGTGGACCCTGAGATGGGCCCCAGCTGGTAGGATTCCATTTTGAGCCTTGCCTTTGTTTTAGGGACTTTAGACTTGACGGGCCTAATTCCCAGAATGAAAAACATGCGTCTGGTTCCCCTCCCTTAACAACCTAACCCAC